CACAGGAGTCCTCCCAAATGTGTACATATAAAGATGAAATGTCTATCTGTGTGTGAATCCATATTGTATTGAATCCTTTGGTTGTAAGTGAAGCTGCAGTTTGTACAAACTGAGTATTATACAATTACCTATGAAGCTCTTTGGGATGCTTCAACCCTATAGGCCCTGTATAGAAGGGTTATTTTACCCATTTACATGACTCCTGTGTACAGATCCAGCAGAGGCTGGAGCAGACACATTGGAGGAGAAAAGTTATACTATTGTTTTTAATCTGTGACTGCGAAATTATCTTATGGTTAGCCCAGCTGGCTCCTGGTGTCCGCCCTTGTCACCACTCCTATTTAGACTTCACTCCCATGACAGGCCCTGCCCTCGCTATTCAGACTCTGGGCATAATGCCTGCTTTCCGTTTCTACTCCAGCAGCCCTGCCTGACCTCCGAGTACTCTTCCCAAGCCTCACCTCCTAATCAGACTCCAGCCCCAGGCTCACGTCCTCCCAAAGTGAAAGGTGATATATAACTGTAAATTGTAAAGAAATCATGCGGAAACATCACATGTCCTGCTGCTCAGGCCAGCTTTTTATTCTGGAGGTGGTTGCATCTCGGTGTGCAGAGATGATGGGAGATCTGACTCTGAGAAGGGTCAAAGAAGGACTTTCAGCACCCTGTTTTTATAATCATTTACTTTAATTTCCTGTTTTAGATTACGGGCTGAAGTCACCTCTGCTGGCAAACTGGTAATGTATAATTGGTGTCTTACCTTGGTAGTTTATTTTTATGTAATTCTCACAGGGATGGAGCTCAAGTGAAAGTTAAAAGTATAGGAAAATAAAGGCAACAAAGGCTGCCTTTGTGGCATTATGAATGTGGGAATGTTTGAGATATTCCCAGACAGTGCTTTCAGTGGCAAACTATGTGGTTTTAGTTGATAAATGCACCAACTGTATTCATCTGGAATTAAGGCTTTTGTTTTCAATGTCTGGTAGTCAAGGAGGGTTTGTTCATATTTAATTACCTAGCTTCCCAAATAATAAAACAAAATATCAGCCCTGATTTATTGTGTTTACTTAGTAGCAGACTGATATGCATCTTTCTACTTCCCATGTGAATAATTTCTGCCAAATTCTGATGAAGGCAGCTTGCAAATGGTGCTATTTTTCTCCATACAGTGCTTTATTTTCAGCCAGTGATCCAACAACGTGGTCCCCTTCAGCTGGTACAGTGCAAATGAGGTCTCAAGCATTTGATTTCCGATGTTGGCAACACTTACATTTTTGGACAAAGCGCATCAACATAAAGTGAGCCGAAGCACAATTTACACTTACTTTTCCTAATTAAATGTATGTTTTTTTCAATAAAGGATTCTTATTCCCAGGATTGTTCTGCACTTCAGAAAAGCGTTCTTTGTCAACAAGCAAATTGTTTCTTGTAACAAATCTGGTAGTGTAAGAGGCACTCCGTCCAAAATGCTCAGCATTTTTTTTAGTATATTGTATTTCTTTGTGGTTGAATTAGAAACTACATTAGTAAAGTTTACAGTGAAATGAAAGTGTCTCGAGCCCCACTAATAACACACTGACATCACTGGATTCCAACTGCATGTACAATAACCTGCCTTGTTCTGGCTGCATGCTTCCCCTCCCCCGCTCTTTCACTCTCACTTTAATAAAGCACCAGAAACATTTAAATTCAGGGGATTTGGTATTCACGTGAAGAAAATGTTTTCAAGGGGGAGGTTAGAGGCATTTTTCATGCAAAGTCTTACTGGAACATGGAATGCTTAGTCACAATAGCTATTGAAGCTAAGACAATAACAACATTTAAAGGGAGTCAGACAAATACTTGAAAAGCAGCAGTATAAAAGAGTACGGTGAAAGACAAGGGAATTGAGTTTTGGGGTAGATTGATTCAATAGCAGAGTTGAGACCCAGAGAGGCTCAGTGGGACCAAATCACCTACTTATATGCTGTGTAAGGGTCAAAAATGTGGTGTTTCATCACAGAATTAATGTCATGATTGGGGAAGGGAGAAAAATACTTAAGGTGATTAGTTCTCTACTAAATGCATCTTTGATACAAGTAGATTTGTGAGATTTGTTTTGTTCGATTGCTGAAAGTACATTATACTGTTGTACATTATACAGGTTTGATGTCGCAGCATCACAAGAGGTTTCAAATTGCTTCTAGATCACCAATCCATCTGTCTTCCCATTATAACCTCAAGCTATGCCAATGCACCTGTTTTTTTCCCCTCAATTTAGAGCGATTTTGTTTCATTAATCAGTGCTTTCTTCTGCCTTCAACAGTTACCAATTTGACCATCGATAATGGTCACAATAGCCCATATTATAAAAGAGTGGTCAATGGATTGCTGATAGCCTGGGCAAGGTAATTGTGCCACATCTGTTGACACTCTTTCACAACTGGCGTTTCTTTTTGACCAGGATGATCAATGAATATAGAATCACCAGAATATGTCAGTTTTTTTGTATGACACACATTAGAGATGAGTAAATATGTCATTGTGCTTTTCTGTCTACACAGATCATATGCTATTCCTGATACAATGATACTCAACACTAGCTGGGCTGTTTGGCCTGGCGTCTTGCCCTTCCTGGCTTCATCTTTTATTTATTTTGGAATAGTCCCTAACTGGTCTTGTACCACTGTCATGGGTGTTAATTTCAACACAGCCAGAAGTGAAATCAGGGGAGGGCCCGAGCACACCCACATCACTGCAGTGAAGAGCTGGTTTTCGCCTATTCCCAGCTGGCTTTTCTGCTTGGCCGCCTGCCAGAATATTGGCAATGCAGAGATCATTGCACATTGCACTGCAGGGGCTATCAAAGTAAAGAAATTGTAGGATCAGGAACCTGGTTTAAATGTCCCTTTCTCAAAGCTATGCAGATTTCCTCTGGCAGTCGGACAAAGCTTTTACTTTAATGAAACATTAATGAGGAAGCCCACTAATTCATTCAAAGTCTGGAAATTTGTACTCATTTCTTGAGTGTAAGATTTATGTCCCCTATTTTGTTAGCTTGCCATAATGGTTACATTATGTTTATTGGATTTAACATTTTACCAAAAGTGCTGAGAGGCGTAAAAACAAAATGAAAAGTTTTTATTGATATTTTAACTTTATTTTTCCATATAACATTTTTTATGAATTCATTAGTCAACACCATTTCTGGGATATTGATGGTACACATTAGCGGTTTTGTAGTCCCCCTCATGCAAGACAATTTCTTTGAGCTGTGAGATGTTTTGATATGAAAGGCTCTAATTAAATGCAGTGAAAAAGTAGTGTAATAACAACAACTTGCACTTATATAACAAACTCCACACAGGGTAGCGTCTCAGAGCGCTTAACAGTAGCGGAGTCTGACTCTGAGCTGGGGCGGGGGAGGAGAGGGGGCGTGAGGTGGCCATAACCACGATCAAACAGGAAAGTCTTCAGGCAGGGTTTGAAAGAGGGGAAAGAGGGGGCAAGGCGGAGAGATTGAAGGAGAGTGTTCCAGAGTTTTGGAGTATAGTAGCTGAAAGCACAACCTCCAATGGTGGGGCGGAGGGTGCAAGGGATGAGCAGAAGGCCGCTGTCAGTCGAGCAGAGGCACCGGGTGGTGGATTGGAGAATGAGGCGGTGGGGAGGTGCCAGGGAGTGAACGGATTTTAACACGAGAAGAACCTCTTGAGGATCTTGAAGTCAAAGTGTATTATTGTTCCCAATAATTTTTTCAGTTTTTTAAAATGCCTTTCAACTTTTTCTCCAAACTCCTACAAAATAAAGCACACATTATATATTCAACCTAAAACAGTTTGGTTAGGTATCAACCTGGCTCAGTGGTGAGAAGTCTCTCTTCTGAATAACGAAGGTTTTGGGTTCAAGCCCCACTTCAAGACTTTTAGCTCAGTCTAGACATGAATGCAGGACTGAGGAATCAATTCATTGTCGGTCGTGCTGTCCTTCAGATGAGATATTAATGCGTGTATCGTTGAGATGCTTTTCTACTTTCAGAGCTGGAGAGTTGTGTAATATGTAAGCAATTAAAATAAAAGGCAACACAAATGACACAGCTTCTTAGTGTTATTGTTTTAGTATCCTCATTTGATTAAGAATACTGCCATCTACTGGAGAATAATAGGTTGCCAAATACACAGAAACATTTTGGTTGCATGGGTCTGTTTTTAAGAGAATACTGCAGTTCAAATTATCGTAGACAAAGAAGATGCTTGCAAAGGAAGATGGTTAACCCTCAACCCACCACCCCTGAACTGGTACCAAATTCAATATCAAATTCGCTAAATTGTGGACCCACAGACCAGCAAAGACAGCTTTGTGCTCAACATTTTATTGAGAACCAGTCTAAAGCAAATTATAGGCTGCGAACACAAACCAGAAGTCGAGACCACAGACTATATTTTCTTTTCTATCCGTTTTTCAGCTGAAAAGCCTGACAAAAAATCCAAAATCAAAATGCAACCGTAAAAGAACCTTTGCCAGCCTTCGGGTTTGTGAATTCTTTTATGCTGCCTCAGGGGATCTTGGATCAGGTAGTATTACTACAATTGGCTTTTTTGCCGTAGGATAAGGGGGAAAGACACAGCGTTAATATTCTTGATTGCTATTCAGTGACTTTGATGTAAAGTATGTGTGTTTATTTGTATGTATGTCAGGCGAAGCCACAATCAGACGTGGGTGTGAAGCTACCTGTAGATGAATATGAAGAATGGCCATTAGGGCAAGGTATTGGAGGCATCCGGGATTTATGAGATTGTATCCTAAACATGAGTTGATGCGTCAGGAGGAGTAAAATCAGTAATCTATATTTTACATCTAATTAATTGGATGCAGTCGAGTTATACTGGGTTATTCACAATATGATGAGGAAATTTTAGAAGCTACGCGAGTTTAAAATGGTCTCTGTTTGCCATCACAAACAAATCTTCCGCCTTTCACCTGGAATTTCATAGAAGAGACAGCATTTTAAGTAGAGAAACAACTAGAAAGAACTTTCATTTTTATAGTGCCTTATATGTTAGAAGACAATAACCTCTTTCAACTTGCAATGAAAGATCTACAGGAGAACATGATCCATTAACGTCGAGTCATCCGCGTCATCCGACATTTGTACGACTGTTCCTCCATCTTGCTCCAACAGCACAGTGATGATGTTCTGACCCATTTTGGTGAAATGTTCAGCCATGCACTCGTCTGCAATCTCCTTCCAGTTACCCAGGCCACTGTTGACATCTCTAAGGATGGTCTCTGCCAAAACATCTGGGTATGCACACAATCCCAATTTATTTGACATTAGTTTTAACCTTTCTTCCACCATGTTGACAATTTACTTTCACTGCAGTTTACTACAACTAGGAAAAATTGAGCAACAATTTTTCTTGTTGGAAATACTGTACTCTTATAACGTAATAAGGTATAACATCTCTACATCAGATATTCAGAATAATATGTAGAAAAATACAGTATAAAAATCACCTCCACCCATTATAATACAGTATGCATCATATTAAAATATAATGTTGAAGGACTATTTTTACTTAAACAAAAGAAGTAGTATGTGTAAAATATCAATGGTAGGCTGTTTTGCAGCATGATACCGAACGAATAAATTTGATGAGTGAGGAGAAGGGACTGAGGAAGCACTGAGGACAAAGTAACACAGAAACAAATCAGGGACAGTCATGGGTCTGGTTAACCTACCTTCATCAACATTTCATCAGAATTAATTCAAGAGACAATCAATTTGGGGCATTATAATTTGATTTTAGTTTTTTTTATAACAATAGTAAATTTTCTGATAAACGTAAAAATCGAAGAGACTATATAATACAATTTACATTTCTATAGCGTCTTTCACGGCGGGAGGTACTAAAGGGCTTAATAATACTGTATGGGCACCCAAGCTAGGGGAAGGGAGCCAAGTGAGATTGGGGGAGGAAAGATAACTAAAAGCACATTCACAGAGATTTTAATTTTAAGAAGTTTAAAAGAAAACCAACCTACAGTAATTTAAAACCTACAAATTGGATCAACCAATCGGAGGTCCAAAGCTGACATTTCGTTTTGGTCAGCGGGGTGTCTAACACGTTTGGAAACCCATCACAATGCTTAGGGTATCCAAAGGCAGACTGAGAGTTCCATGCATACCACCTGCATATGGAAATTTCAGGGGCTGGAATAGAATACGCACTCTCTCTCCATCTGGCACATGCACTTTGCTTACCAAATCCAAGGGAGTATTAGGCGCAGGTTGACAAGAACCAAGGCTTGGGAGGTCCAGGATGTGCATTGGGGTTTTTGGTGGAGTTTAACCAGCTAAAAGCATGAACGCATGTCACCTTGGAGCTCGTTCAGCTTTTGACAAAAAAATGAGATAGGTTATGAAGGTGGCTAGATAAAGTTCACAGACGTTAAAAAGTATTTTTTAAAAGTATATACATCCTGGTTTTAAAAAAAACAAAGATAATAATACCCATTTGATATACCGTCTTATCACATCTGGGATATTTACTTTTCTTTCTTTCTACCATACTGATGGTTTGTACTTACTTGGACCACGATCATCTAGGTCTTTCAGAATTTGGAATGCAAATTCCTTATTTTCGTTTGATATGAGGGACAGAATAACAAGGTCCATTGAGAGAGTTGCTGGCTTTCCCTTCCAATTATAGACCAGATTGCGAATCAGTTCAACATTTGGAAACTCGTTCAACAAGAACAAAGAATCATCTAGGAAGAATATGATAACACAGAAGAGAGTCAAATAATACAAGAATAGGCCTATCTAAGGCAACTGAGTGGTAAGGCTAATGGTGTAAAGTGAGGTAGGCCAATAGTATAAAATGATGAAAGGTCATAAGCTTCATTATACCTTACATATTCAAGAGAGACCTAAAACACAATCAAAATATTTGGTTGTGAAAACTAACTACTGTAGCTTCTTCCCAAATCCTATTGCTAATCTAACATACAGAAACTAACCAGATGGATTTTTAAAAGGGCTAGGACTGACTTCTTTTATATAAAAATAGTTAACCACAAGATGACATAGTTTGAGTTAGTTTAGATTCCGTGCCAGATTTTTCCTACAATTTATTAGTGGGGAGGGGAGGAACATTTGAGAATACAATATTTGAAAAGTACTTTGTGTAAATAATTATTTTCACATTTATTTAGTAGTCAATACAAGGGTCCATCATTGCCTTATAATATCAATGGATTAGAAGTCACATCACAGTTGGGGTGGAGGGAGAAAAAAAGAAAATCTGCTTAAAAAACAGAGAGCTATAATATCTCTTTAAAAAAAATCCTAAAATAAAAAAACCTCTCCTCTGTCAAAGAAATTACAATGTGTACAAAAACAGGTAGGGGTAGGGAAGGAAGAAGAGAAAAGTCCATTAATATGGATGTACTTTTCACACAAAAACATATCTCTTTTAAAATAAGAGGCAGGATATTTTACACCAGTATAATGTATAACACCAAACCTGGCAAATAATACGCGAAAGAATGTATTCAATTTATATAGAATTCTCCTAATCCAAGAGGGCTAGATTTAGCAAAAGGAGGAATTGAACCACTTCTTAAGATCCTTACTTAAAGTGAAGCTATCACAGTCAGAAATGTAGCTCAGTGCCGCAGAACTCTGTCCTCGCTTGCACATGGTGAGAGCTACCTTTTTATGTACAGCACAGTGAAGGAAAACAGTTTGAGCCAGGGCCAGGCATGTATCTAGAGTCTGAGGCTGCATATCTCCATACTGACAAATCTCTTCTCCCAAAGCTTCACTGTATGTTAATCTAGAGATGAAAAGAAAATATAAAATGTTATTAGAAGTAGTAGGCTTGGGAATAACATTTATTTTGACAAGAACCTTAAATAAACAAAAAGTACTTTTAAAGAATGTATGAGGTAATACTATTAAATGCTGCATATATAAAACTATGTTTTTAAATAATATCAAAGTTTCTTAACCTACTATTAATTACTACTATTCTTAACCTACAATGTTGGCTTTAAACATTGGCTCATGTGCTGAACAAACATAAAAACTGTAGCTGTTTAATGTTCCTACTGAACTTCAAAATCTTTTGCTGTTATATATATAATATATATAAAATAACTTTGTTGTATGCTTATCTTACCAAAAAGGAATTTGATGCTCAAATGATGGTTATTTCAATGGGAGCTATTTAATACAGGTACTTACAATTTTTTATTCCAATACAACTTCATATCATTGTAAATATTAAATGTTATTTAATATTAACAGATTTTATAGATGTATAGAATGATTGACTGAATTGCTTAACAGTTGTATTCTGATCTAGGATTAATTTTACGAGTTAAATTAACCGGTCACTTAAATGAGAGATAATAAATCCACTGTTATACAACTATAATCTTAAATCTACAGTTTATTTTTTTTTGTTTGGCTAAGATTTACTTAGTACTGTATAGATTAATCATGCTTAGATACTTTATCTTATCAACAGATGAGGAGGAGAATTGAGTGATATGGAAGAGGTTGTTTAGGAGAAAGGGGTGGAAGCTCATGTGGATTATAAACACTGCTGAAGATTTCTTGGGCTGAGTGGCCTGTTTCTATGTGTAACCTTCTACGTAATTCTATATAATTCTATATTCTCCTTCTCCAACTGCTTGGATGGTAATAATACAATAATAATAATCGTTGCTTTTGCTATAGTGCCTTATCATGTCAAAAGGACGTCAAATGATAGTGTTGATTTTGATTGGGTCCAAACAAGAATCTTACACATTGCTTCAGTTTAGCTGGGAGCAGCATTTAGGGGTCTCTCAATTGTTTATTTCAACCAGAGTGGCAGCACATAGAGGCTGAGGTCAATTCAAGCTTATGCACAGCTCATTATCATTTTGCAGTCAAATTTACTGTGTGGACTCTGCCATCATGTGGCAGCTTTGTGTTACCGGCATTTGTGCCAGCACTTTGTAAATGAGTGATAGGAGTACTATAATAACCCTTGCAGTCAAAGCGCTTCACACGAATCAAAAGTCACAACAGTGTTGTAAAGTGGTGTGACTTTTGTATTTTGTAGGCGAACAATACCATATTAAGGTAATCAGTCATTTCTAAAGAAAGAAAAGGCTTGAGAATAACATTTATTTTGACAATATGGAATGTTCAACAGGCATAAATAAAAGATAATCAAAGGCAAACAGGAAAGTCAAAATAAAGACAAAAGAAGATTTTTCCCTCAATGATTAATTTGGTAAATTCTGCCAAATATGAGAGCCACACAGACCGGGAAGGTCCCGTATTCGTTATCTAGTTTGTGCTGAGGTAGCCAAGGGGTGTGATAATTGGTCTCAGTGCTTTTGGGCTTGAGAAAAAGAAAAAAAGTCAACTAAGCTTCCTGTTCTTAATCAGAATACAGTGGTCTCCAGCAATATCTCAGCTGTTTCCTACCCTTAAATAGAATGCCAAAGCTTACTATCTGAGCTCAGAGAAGAACGGACAAATCTGCTTACCTAAGAACAAAACTACATGAAATCCTTAAAAGGTTAGAATTATAGAATGCTTATAGCACACAGAAGGAGGCCATTGGGTTCCCATGTCTACATTAATGCTGACCTACCAAAGTAATCTACCATCTTTTTCTGGATACACTTTCCTTAGAAAAACATAACCACTACTCTTTGCAGGAGATCATGTGAAGCACTGCGAGACGTTCCAATGACGTGATAAGGCACTATAACAAATGTAATGTTTATTATTCTTCAAATATTATTTTTCATCAATTATTCCTATAATTTCCTTTTAAAAGCACTTTGGGACCCTATCCTGTGTGAGGTTGTTCTATAAATGCAAGTTGTTGTAAATACTTCTTTGGCTTCACAGCCATTCTTATATTGCATTCTGAATGTTGATCAAACCCTAGTTCCTTCTCGGTATAATTCTAAATATTCTAGCCAACAGAATAGTCTTTGTCAATCTACCTTTTAAAAAAAATCATAATTTTGAAAATTTATATTATTTTCTCGTCCCCTTTAATCTTTTCTGTTCCAGTGAAAACAATCCCAAATTTGCGACTTCTTACATATATAGATTTACGTAGATAAAATCTACAGTCCCGAAACAGACAATTCTGTCCAACTAATCCCTGACAATGTTTATAATCTACATGAGCCTCCAACCAACCTAATCCCTTCTCCCTAATCTCTCCACATACCTCTATCCCCTTCTCTCTCATGCACACTAGTCTTAAATATGTTTACACAATATATAGAAATATTTCCATTTATTTAGGAATACTACCTGTGCCTTGTGACCCAGTGTATGACTAGATCCAATTTATTTTCATTCAATGCACATTGCACTCCCTCCAGAGATATCACTGAATTAGGGGGACGTTTGCCACTGGGACCTGAGCTCATTACAGCCTCAAAGAAGAGCAGCAGAGGAGGAACTTTTCCTTCATAGTCAGTGACAGCTGAGGGTTGAAAATTAAATTTAAAAGTTAAACAACAATAAAAAGAAAGTGCATCTTAAGAAAATTACATGTTAAAAACCTCCTGGTAACATTTTTATTTTTCTCTAGATGGCTCAATTTGTTTATCCAGTGAATAGCTGAGCAATAAAAACTTAAAAGGTTCCCTAATCAGTACTGAGTTAGTTGATTTGAGCTAATAATGCCACAGTGCAAAACTAACCCTTAAACCTTTCCATGGTTTTTATATTATGAAGAATCCTTTTGGGACTGTTTGCAACATGTATTGCAGCTTCTTCATACTTCTTAGCCAAGAAGAGTTCATCAAATCTGTAAAAAAAAAGGAATTTTCTTTGGAGGAACAGAGCGTATTTGAAGTTTATTCCATTGCCACATCAAGACACGTTAAACATTATTGATTGTTAAACAACAAAAACTTGCACTTGTATAGCGCCCCTCACGCAGGGCAGCATCTCAGAGCGTTAAACATCATTAAAATGCATTTCTTCAAAGCTCTTTCATGGTTGAAGGCCATTCATTTGCTATTGAATGCAACTTTCGACATGCAAGATTCTGTACCAGTTTATGGTATTCAACTCACTTTTCAATATAGTTCAGTAAGAGCTGAAGTTCTCTAAACCTGTTAGGATCGTCGTCAACAAATACCATTGGCCAGGGATGGTCATCCTCTGCATTAGAGCAAAATTAATCTTTATGGGCAAAAATTGTTATCTATTATTTATGTGAATACTTCAGAACATGCATCAAATATACTCTTTTGTAACTATTTAGTGTGTTGTTGATCAATATTAATACATTTACAGATAGGGAGCGGGGTGTGGATGGTCCTTATGTATCATAGGTAAAAGGACATAGTTCTCCACCTTCAATTTCAACATGATGGGTTTCTGATCTCAGGTGGTCCATTAGCAAAACTGCGCAGCAATGGCAATGTGATTTCCCTCGGGAAGGAAAATCATCAGTGGGCCTCTCATGCTGGTGAATCATAGGTTAAAAAAAGGACCCAGTGATTAAATTTATTCTGACATCGATGGCTGCTGCTGGCAGCATTACCTAGATTAGAGCAGCAGAATAGAGAAAGAAATGGCATGAATAAAGTTGTTTGCTTCTGTTATTTACAGTTGATCAGGAAATGTTAAATGTTCCCCGTAAGTGTATGACATCATTACGAGTTGGATGGTGAAGGAAAATCCAGAAAAATCAAAAGAAAAATTGCGGGCGACTGTGAATGATGGTTCCGCAGGGTTGAGGCCTGAGTGTCACTCTATTCAGTCCAGTATCCTGTGCAGGAGCAATAATACTATGAGCTATGCAGGTAGGTTAAGCAATGGCATCCACTGAAAGGTTTATTCAAAGCTTTGTGCCAAAGCTGTGAGAAGAGGGGAAATATTCACACCCAAAACAGTCAATAATGTAATGGCTCTTTTTGATATCAATTTTCAGAGATGTGATAGTTTTTACCATTGATGACTACCATTTCACATATTGCAATTTTCACCACTTTCTTAAATTACTGGATAATCCTGTGCAACAAATATCAGATTTTCATTTCAAAGATAAACTTCAGATTCAAAACAGAATCACAGCTCAAAGAAAAACGTTGTACCTCTTAGCTTGTCTATCGTTTTTAACAATGGTGAAATGAACTCGGTAACTGTAACTTTTTGATCCGATTTCTCCCAGTCAGTGACAGCATCTGCTAGCATTTTCATTTTCTTGTATCTGAAATAATGTGTAGAGGATGGTGTCTGTAATTTAGTAAACTTGTAGGAAAACAAAAGGAACAAAGAATAGTTTGGGTTTATTATTTTTTTAAAATATAGCAGGTTCAGATATTTTACTTGAATTTTGTGAATGTGAGTAAGACAGGATTCAGGAAATAATACATTTCATGGTAATACATGAATCTTCCCAGTTTGACAACTAAAGAGGATAACTGTGTGCATTATCAGCATCACTCTAAAACAAGCTCCAGCAGGTTCAGTAGGACAGAGAGTTTATAATGGCATGAATGATGTCAGCATACTTTTAAGCAGTTTGAACTTTCCACCTACAAGAATTGATCAAGTCCATTTGCCTGGGTATTCTGCCCATTCCACTATTCAATATGCCCTAAATAAAGTAATAATAAATAAATAACAATAATAATCCTTACATTTGGTATAGCATTTTTCATGTCGGAACGATGAACAAAGCACTTCATAGCATATACTGTAAAATGGAGTAACTGTCGAACGCGGCAGCCAATTTGCAAACAGCTACGAAGTAAATGACCAATTTTATCTGGAAGACGGTTAGTCAGGAACCAAGAGAAATGTTCTTCTCTTTTTGAATGGAAGAAGCCCGTGGAAGAAGATCTCCCCACAATCCCTCTCCGCTGCCCTGGAGTGCTCTGAACTCCTCCCCCTCTGGCCCACCTCCCATCCTATCAGTTAATTCTACTTCCACAGCACCCTCTCCACCACACTCGACGCCCTTGCCCCCCTCACCTCCCGAACTCCCTCCTATTCCCGATCCTCACCCTGGTTCACCAGCCACCTCCACTCGTGTAAGGATCAGGTATGAGCTGCCAAACGCACTTGGCTCAAATCTGGCCTAACGGTCTACCGGCACATCTGGCTGGACCACATTAAAACCTACAGCTCCGCTCTTGCCTTGGTCAAATTGTCCTTCTACTCAAGGTTAATCCTGGAGGCGAAGGGCAACCCTAGGCCCCTGTTCTCCACCACCAACTGGCTCCTCCGCCCTCCACGCCACACCTTGCAGATTCTTTCCTCCGACTCCCACTGCGAGGAAATGCTGGACTTCCTCGAGTCCAAAATTGAGGAAATCCTCTCAGCTGCCAATGCGCTCCAAACTTCCACCCCCTCCTACCCCCACTCCACACTCCGACCACTACCCATCCCTCCTTCCACACCTTTGAACCTGTCACCCCTCTACCATCACCACCATATTCTCCATAAAGCCCACAACATGCTCCTTGGACCCCATCCCCACCCCTCTCCTTAAATCCCAGCTCCACCTCCTTGCCCCACTACTCGCTGACATCATCAACCTCTCCCTGTCATCTGGCATGTTCCTACCTCTCCTCAAAACAGCCACTATCACCCCACCCCCTTGAAGAAACCTTCCCTTGAGCCAACACAGCTATCCAGCTACCGGCGCATCTCCAACCTCCCTTTTCTGTCCAAGGTCCTTGAGAGCCGTCGCCTCCCAGCTTCGCTCTTTCCTCTCCTCCCACTCCCTCCATGAGCCCCTCCAATTGGGTTTCCATGCCCACAGCATGGAAACTGCTCTGGTCAAGGTCACAAATGACATCCTGACCAGGTGTGACCAGTGTTCCCTCTGTCTTCTCGTCCTCCTCGACCGCTCTGCCACTTTTGACACTGTGGACATTCAATCCTCCTCCACCACCTCTCCTCCCACCTCAACCTCCAAGGTTCTGTCCTTGACTGGTTCAGGTCCTACCTTTCACACTGCCTCCACTTCCTCAGCAAACGGCTTCTCCTCCAGCCCTCGCACTGTCTTGTGCGGTGTTCCTCAGGACTCTGTCCCCTCCTCTTCACCCTCTACATGTTCACCCTTGGTGACATCATCCGCAGACATGGGGTAAATTTCCACATGTATGCGGATGACACCCAACTCTATCTCTCTGCCTCCACCCTCAACTCCAGGACTACTGGCGTCCTGACCGACACTGTCCGATATCAAGTCCTGGATGAGGAACAATTTTCTCCAACTCAACGTCAGCAAGACCGAGGCATTTCTGATTGGCTCGCGCCAGCGCCTCTGCATCTCGGGTGCTGGCAGCATCAGGATCCATAGCTGCACACTCAACCTCACTAAGCCAGTCAGGAACCTGGGTGTCTTGTTTGACCCTGAACTGTCCTTTCTCCACCACATCAGCGCATGACTGGCACTGCCGACCACCACCTCTGCCACATTGCCAGACTCCGCCACTGCCTCACCCCTCAGGCTACCAAAACCCTTACCCACTCATTCATCACATCAAGGCTCGATTATGGAAAATCCCTCCTCATCGGCCTTCCCAACTCTTCACTTCAAAAACTCTGCAGCTCGTGTACTCTCGCGAACCAGGCTCCGTGACCCCATCACTCCCATCCTCGCCTGAATCCACTGGCTCGCCCTCCCTCAGAGGATCGAATTCAAGATCCTTGTCCTCACTTTGAAGGCTATCCATGGCCTCACCCTCTCCTACCTCTCTGACCTGCCGACTCCCGACCAACCTACCCGCTCCCTCCATTCAGCGGGCTCCGGCCTGCTCCATGTCTCCCGCACGACCCGTCCTACCATCGGTGGCCGAGCTTTCAGCCTCTCTGCCCCCACACTCTGGAACTCCATCCCACAGTCCCTTCGCCTCACTTCCTCCTTCCCTCCCTCCTTCAAGGTCAGTCTCAAGACCCTCCTCTTCAATCGTGCCTTCGGTCGCCCTCCCACCTCTCTGCCTTCCTTCACGCCTACCTCACCCCTACCCCATGCTTGGGTCCTGACCATGACTATCCAGCGTCTTGGGACGTCCTCCCGACGTGAAAGGTGCTCTATAAATGTAATTTTGGTGTTATTGTTGATGATGAATAGCACCATGTACAATACTAGCAAATGTCTGCCAGTATATCACTTGCCTACTGTCTTGACTATCAAAGGCATGTTGTGCAGCAAGTTCACAGAAAGGAATGCAGAGAAAAATCACAACCTAACAAAAAACTAAATATATTAGAGTTAACACATTCTTTAAAACTTTTAAAACCTGAGCAACAATTCTTCATATAAATTCCGTTAAATTGCCAATTCTTGCTTACTATTGTGAACAGGGATGCATTCTCTCTGTGACTAGGAAAATTCCTAGCCTTGAAGTTTATTCCAGAAGGAGTGACTGAATGTGTAAAAAAAACTAGCATTGTAGCTATCCTCACGTTTCATAATAGATAAACATTTTATTATTGAACAAAACCTGATTTGTAGTTGTCCATTCTCGTCAGACAGCTTTTCCCATATTTGTACTTTTTCAGTCATTTCCTGAGCCATCTTAGCATGAACACTGGCTGACACAAACTTAGTTTCTTTTGCATCTTTTCGACTTTCGAGTATCTTTTCCAGTTTTTGTTGGTATGCACATAGAGCCGTCATATTTGAAGAGTCGTGGAATGAAAGGCCTATCATAGAAATCATGCAAAGAAAGTATTCCGAGTATTGCACACTTAAAACTGCTTAACCAAAACAGCTTGGATGAAAATTACTGGTTGTAACAATTAAGCGCTGGTTCTAAAAGTTTATTCTTCTCTAATTTTGCTTTATGACAGATCAACACTTTACTTAATTACTATTAATTCTGCTCCTGCAGACATGGCCATTGACACATGTCCCATTGAAATCCTAATCATCTGATTCTCATGGTGTAAAATAGCAACAATTTAAAAAAAATATTTTTTAAACAGTCATTAAAAGATATGCAACAAGAACAAAGAAAATGAAGTGAAACTGTACAAAGTAATAAAACTAACACAACAAAATTACATTTGTATAGTGCCTTTCACATCGGAAGGATGTCCCAAGGTGCTGGACAATCATTGTTTTGAGATGGGGATCGGGATTCGGAAGGGTGGAGAGCAGGGGGTAAGGAAGGTGACTGAAAGCACGGTCGAAGAGGAGGGTCTTGAGACGGGTGTTGAAGGAGGCAAGGGAGGAGGCGAGGGGGAGGGACTTTAGGATGGAGTTCCAGAGGGTGGGGGCAGTGTAGACTCTGCCTGCGGTGTGAGACAGCGGGGAGCTGGGCGTTGTTGCGGAGGTGGGGGAAGGCAGAGCAGGTCATGACATGGATGTGGGGTAGAAAGGACAGTTGAGGGTCAAACAAGACGCCATGGTTCCAGACTGGCTCAATGAGGTGAAGTGTGCAACCTTGGATGGTGATGCTGTCAGTGCCTGTGGTGTGGAGGCGCTGACAGGAGTCAATCGGGAGAGCCTCGGTCTTGTTGACGTTCAACTGCAGAAAGTTAGCTCTCATCCAGGATTTGATGTCTGACGGACATTGGAGGCAGAGAGGTAGAGTTGGGTGTCATCCACATTCATGTGGAAGTTGACCCCATGTCTGCAGATTATGTCAATAAGAGAGAGTATATGGATATTGAAGAGCAGGAAACTAAGGACAGAGCTCTGAGGAACACTGCACAAGACGGTCCGGGAGCTAGAGGAAAAGCCAATTGTGGAGTTTAAGTAGAGACGGTGTGAGACGTAGGATCTGAATCATTCAGTGTCAGAACTATGAAGGTTGAGGTGAGAGGAGAGGCAGTGGAGGAGGATGGAGTGGTCAAGGGTATCGAAGGTTGCAGAGAGGTCAAGGAGCACAAGGAGGCAGAGGGAGCCCTGGTCGCAGATGGACAAAATGTCATTTCTCACTTTGACCAAAGCTGTTTCTGTGCTGTGGGTGGCATGGAAATCCGATTGGAGGGGTTCGTGAAGGGAGTGGCGGGAGAGGAAGGAGCGAAGCTGGAAAGCAACAACTTGTTCCAGGACCTTGGAAAGGAATAGGAGGTTGGAGATGGGGCAGTAATTTGAGAGCTGGAATGGGTCCAGGCAGGGTTTCTCTAACACTTCTTTAGAGATAAGATTTCTTGTGAGCAAACGTTTTACAATCAATCACTTATGGACACAGACCTGGTGAAACATTTATATATCAGGATAAGAACGACGTTCAACATTCGGCAGACCGCTTTTGCCAATGCACAGCTATAATGGGAAATCCCTTTAGTAACCAACAAATCACCAAAGGCGTCTACTGAACACAATTTTGACCGAATAGAATGGATTGCCAAAAAAGGAAAACCAAATCTGAAAATATTGTGCAATGAATATCGAACCTTTGATTTGCTGAGTGAGACTGCTATCTTCTTCAGGTGCCGATACCTCTTCTACAGCTTCTTCTTCAATTTGTTCTGAATGTTTATTCTTCTCCAACTGAGCTTCTATTACAGCAGTGTTACGTTCAATAAGATCAATTCTGCTTAAAGGAAGTCCGAAGACATCATCATATTGAATAACTGATCATCTTTGTCAATTTAATTTGGTTTACATTTCTAAGTGCTTCTGCTTTCTGAGGTCTAATTGAAAAGCAATGGAAGATGTGCAGCATAGGCATGAGAGATTCAGTTATAAAGAGAGTCTTAAAAAGGTAGGGCTTTTTCACTGGAGTTGTAAAGGTTAGGGAGTGACCTAATACAGGTCTTCAAAATTATGAAAGATTTTGTTAATAATTATTTCTTACTAATCAGCAAGCCATGCAAATATTCAAGATAATTCACAAAATCAAGGTGACATTAGAAAACACATTACTTTACACAGAGGGTGGTTGGAATGTGGAATTTTCTGCCACAAAGTATTGTTGAGGCAGAGTCCAAAAATTATTTTAAAAGGAAATTAGATATTTGAAAAAGGAGAATAAAAGGATTTTAGAGTGTACAAGAGTTCTGTTTGCAAACAATTCTATCATTTTATGATTATTTTTACTGCTCAACTTATGAATCATTTTTCTGTCTTCTGGGACACAGTATAATGGTCTTCCTTTAAGTTCAAACCCGGGTTCTTTGCTTATTATTCTTTCCTAACAACAACAACAACTTGGATTTATATAGCACCCTCCACGCCGGACGGCGTCTCAGAGCACTTCACAGTAACAGATCCCGGGGCCAAGCCTGGGGGAGAGGGAAGAAGGTGACCAAAGGCGCGGTCGAAAAGAAAGGTCTTCAGCAGAGACCTTAAAATAGGAAGAGAGGGAGCGAGACGAAGGGAGTGAGGAAGCGAGTTCCAGAGCCTCGGGGCATAGTGGCTGAAGACACGGCCACCGAGGGTGGAATGGAGGACAGGAGGAGACCAGACCCAGAGGAACGAAGGCAACGGGCACTGTTTTGAGGAGAGGAGGTCAGAGAGGTAGGGGGGTGCAGAGGAATGGAGGAATTTGAAGACAAGGGTGAGGATCTTGAAGTCGATCCTCTCTGGGACAGACAGCCAGTGCAGTCTGACAAGGACTGGGGCAATCAGGGAGCAGAGGTTGGTGCGAGTGAGAATGTGGATGGCAGAGTTTTGAATAATCTGGATTTTGTGGACGGTAAACCTGCAATGCACCCTTTCTGATTGCCTTCCTAGTTTTTGAAAGCATCAAAATTTTATTTGAACTGAAATCTTTCTTAAAAGACTTAGCTACAAAGGTTGAACTTTTTGAATTTAGTCTATTGGTGAAAGCCTTACACTTATTGCCCATAAGCACAACATTGTTTGACACAATCAGTGTTACTGTCTACTCAGATTCAAATGTTTACTCATATCTATTACCTCGATCCCTCTAACCTTGGCCACTACCGCCCTATCACAAACCTGCCCTTCCTTGCCAAAGCTCTGGAACGTGTTGTTGCCAACCAACTTCGTGCACAACTCTCCCTGCACACCCTACTCAAACCCTTCCAGTCTGGTTTCTGCCCTGCACACAGTACAGATACAGTGCTCATGAAGGTCATAAATAAAATCCTCTCTATCTGTGACCAGGGCTCCCTCTACCTTCTCGTCCTCCTGGACCTCTCCACCGCGTTCGATACAGTCAATCACGTCATCCTCCTCCACCGCCTGTCCTCCATCATCTACCTCAGTGGGAGTGCACTTGCTTGGTTCAAGTCCTACCTTGCAATCCGCCAGCACTACATTTCTGCAAATGGCTTTTCTTTCGAACCTCCTCTCCCCCCATAGCAGTACCAGCTGCCTCCACTCTCCTGGGTGTGGCCTCCTTCGCGTCCCCCGAATCCTCCGCTCCACCGTCGGTGGCTGTGACTTCAGCCACTACGCCCCGAAACTTTGGAACTCCCTCCCTCAACTCCTTCTCCTCGCCCCCTCCTTCCCTATTTTCAGGTTGCGCCGAAAATCTTCCTTTTCGACCGCGCCTACGGTCACCTTCCCCCTCCCCCTCCCCCTGGCTCGGCCTCGAGCTCCGCCATTGTTAAGCGCCCTGAGACGCCGCCCGGCGTGGAGGATGCTATGTAAGTGCAAGTTGTTGTTGCTATTACTGTCCACTCAACCTACAATTTACGCAGCAACAGAAAACTAAGGACTGATGGGTCCTTACTTGTGTCGGAGCAGATCGGCTCTCTTCTTGTAGGACATAAGAGTCGTTGGTTCGAAGGCCATTGATTTCAGCTTTCTTTTTAGAAACAGGGCATCTTTTTTCCCTTTTTGGATGGCATGGATGCAGTCGTCATACTCCTTCTTGATGGACGTGAGGATGTTTTTGTATTCTTTTGTATTCTCGATGACCTGTGTGCACCTCAAATAAGTCTAACAGAAACAATCCAATGCGGAACGATCTCAGACGTTACTTGTTGGCGGCATTTTCGGTTGACACGTTGCGGATTTTATTTTCACAGTTACCGAGAAGTCCACAGCCGCAGGTTATTATTATTATTATTATTATTATTAATATACTTAAACGGGTGGGGGTGGGGGTGCGGGGGAGGGGGGTGGGGCTGCGGGGAGGGGGGTGGGGCTGCGGGTGAGGGGGGTGGGGCTGCGGGGGTGGGGGGGGGAATGGGGGGGTGGGGGGGGGAATGGGGGGGTGGGGGTGGGGAATGGGGGGGTGGGGGGGGAATGGGGGGGTGGGGGGGGAATGGGGGGGGGAATGGGGGGGTGGGGGGGGGAATGGGGGGGTGGGGGGGAATGGGGGGATGGGGGGGGTGGGGGGGGGAATGGGGGGTGGGGGGGGGAATGGGGGGTGGGGGGGGGAATGGGGGGGTGGGGGGGAATGGGGGGTGGGGGGGGAATGGGGGGGAGGGGGGTTGGGGTCTAACCCAGACCTCATTACCTTCTCGAATACACTTTTGTAGAGGATGTAACGTTGTTCGTCGGGTCCCTGCTCTGGGCAGCCCAGGATTTCTATTTCGCTGCGGATGTGCTCCCTCAGGCGGGAGAGCAGCTTCTGGTCGTTTGGGGAGAGGACGGGGAGCTGAGGCTGAGGCTGAGGGCCGCTCACACCCTCCCTGGGGCTGGGGCTGGGGCTCGACTCGCGCTCGCTCGACATCGCTCCGACATCGGTAACAAGGCCACAAGAGGAGGGGGGGGAAGGGGAGGCGGCGGCGGCGACGCTCCGGTTACCATGGTTACCGGGACGGTCTCCATGGTTATCGTCCACTGCCGGAAGCTGAGGTGGCTTCCGTGGCCTCCGGCGGCATTCTGGGAAATGTAGTTTCCAAAAGGGCCACAGAGTCTCAATAATAATAATCAGGGATAATAATAATAATTAGGGATAATTATAATAATGATCAGTTCTGGCGAAGGGACGTGGACCAGAAACGTTGACGCACTTTGCTTTCTCCCTAGATGCTGCCTGACCTGCTGAGAGTTGTTTTTGTTTTCATTGCCAGCATCTGGAGTATTTTGCGTTTTGCTTAATAATAATCCTTGCATTTGATATTGCGCCTTATCATGTCTTAAAGAGACGTCTCAATGCGCTTCACTGAATATACTGTAAAGTGAATTGACTGTATTTTGTGGGTGAAACGCGGCAGCCAATTGCATACACCGTGTCCCACAAACAGTCGTGGATTAAGTGACCAAATTATTATTTTTAATTTTTCTTGATTTTTGAAGGGATTATAACCCCGGGAAAATTATTACCCCCACATTATTAGTCCTGTAGTTTTGTGGTTAGAGCCTCGCAAGCGAGAGACCAAGGTTCAGTCCCCGGCAGTGCGAAACATTGGGCAAGTTTCCTTACTCCGCACGCCTCTGTTTACCTAGTAGGACCTGGTTGTTAGTCGATTGGCGTAATAATCCTTTAAAATTTTTAAAATAAAAATAAGTAATAAATTTGTCCCTTCAAACGACTGTCTGTGGGACACTGCTGTGCGCACTTGGCTGCCGCGTATCTCCCACAAAATATACAGTCAATTCACTTTGCAGTATATTCTGTGAAGCGCTTTGAGATGTCTGGAAGACGTGATAAGGCGCGATATGAAATGCAAGGATTATTTTTTGGGGGATGTGTGTGTGTGGGAGAAGGGGGTTAAACAGAGGCGCGAGGAATAAAGAAACTTCGCTTAAACTTTTGCTCCGCCCGGGAACCGAACCCGAGTCCTCTCACTTGCACGTCAGCCCCGTAAATCGACGGTGACAACATTAAGATTATTTTATTTTTTGGTGATTGGTGGGGGGGGTGGGGCAAAAATTTTTTTGAGATGTACAGAGGACAAACCGCATTGATTTATCTGTTTTTGCATATAATTAAAAAATATATAGTGTGAGTAAAGGGAGAGTGGAAGGGGGCGGAGACGGTGAAAGTCGCCAACAGGCGCCCGGGTTGGCCACCTAACCCCTGGGCGGTGAGGGCGGAAACCCCGCGCGGAGGAGACTGAAGCCCTCTTTTCGGGGGCCGCCATTTAGCGGCCGGTTCTGGTGAGTCTGAGCTCCGCGGCCGCGCCGACATTTTACACGCGGCCCCGACCGCTTTCCAGGGAAATAAAAATAAACAACCGCTCTCTCTCCCCCTCTCCCGCAGGTGGAGCGGATTCCAAGATGCAGATCTTTGTGAAGACCCTCACGGGGAAGACCATCACCCTCGAGGTGAGTCGGGCCCCGGGTGCGGGGAGAAGGGAGAGTCTCAAACCAGCGCCCGGTCACGGGGGCTTCCTCTCTGCTCCTCGTTACACACACACACACACACAAAAAAAGACATCCGTTCGTTCAAACCCGGTCCCTGGTGGTTCTCCGGTCAAAATGTTGTGTGATATTTAGCGTTGGCCCCCGGCGGAGGGAAAGGCGGAGCGACAGCAAAGACTTAACGAGTCGTCGTCCCCCCCCACGCGGTGCGTCAACTCTTCCCCATGGCCTCTCCTCACAGCCTAACGAGCGTGTGCGGCCTCTCCACCATGGCCTCTCCTCACAGTCTGTGTGTGTGGCCTCTCCTCACAGTCTGTGTGTGTGGCCTCTCCACCATGGCCTCTCCTCACAGTCTGTGTGTGTGGCCTCTCCACCATGGCCTCTCCTCACAGTCTGTGTGTGTGGCCTCTCCACCATGGCCTCTCCTCACAGCCCAACTAGAGTGTGTGTGGCTCTCCTCACACCCTAACTGGAGTGTGTGTGGCTCTCCTCACACCCTAACTGGAGTGTGTGGCTCTCCTCACACCCTAACTGGAGTGTGTGTGTGTGGCTCTCCTCCACCCTAACTGGAGTGTGTGTGGCTCTCCTCACACCCTAACTGGAGTGTGTGTGGCTCTCCTCACACCCTAACTGGAGTGTGTGTGGCTCTCCTCACACCCTAACTGGAGTGTGTGTGGCCTCTCCTCACACCCTAATTAGAGTTTGTCGAGGACAATACCCAGTAGCCGACTTCGATTCCCATTTTTATTTCTGTCCTGTTATTTGGGGTGGGCGGGTGGGGGTAATGCTTCCGAACCTGCGCTCCACGTGCCATTTCCTGCTCAGGAGGTCAGAAAACACGGGCTGTAAATCTCAGGTGCACGCAGAATTAATTGTGGTTTATGTTTTTTATTAATTTTGAAGTCGGGTCTTTTTAAGACTACTAACTTCCAAATTGAGATTAGATGCAAGAATTTCGGGTTTAATAATCGTGTGTGTGATCAAGATGTTTTAAAGCGAAAAAAATCTTCTCATTAGATTTTAGGTGAAAATTTGATTCTGAAATGCAATTGAGCTGCAATATTAGTAGTTTCACCTCATCCAAGTGCCTATCTGTTTCATGGGGGAGTGGGAGGGGTGCTGAAACTGAAAGTGCTGGTCTATACTGACCTGGTAATGTGGTGGCCATTGCTTTTTTGCTGTGGCCAATTTCTGTTATCACTGGACGGCTACCTCCAGTCAGCCTTTTACATTTCAGGGCAGACCTGTCTTCTGCAAGCAGCCAAATTTAAAGTGGCCAAATTTCCCAGTATTAATAAGAGACCCTTATTAGTTTAATCTCCATTTTATTCTGTCCAGAATAAAAAGTTGTGGAGATACATCAAAGGGATGTGCACTTGAATGTGTGACTCTTGTTGTTTGTATCAACATTGAATATGTTACACATGAATGCTCAAACCATTCAAATGTTTTTCATGATTTGCCTTTACTGAAGTAATGACTATTTCAGTAATGGCTTTGTGAAAATAAACATGTTTTTGTGCATGCATTATCTAACAATTGTGTCGCTGAAAACTGTAATTGTGCTGCAAGTACTCTCCCTTCAATAGCGTAGTTAGAATAATGGCTGATACTATCCGGGTTTCTTCAGTACTGCATGATTAAGGATATGATATCATAATTCTGTTGCTTCTGGTGGCTCTTTTTGCCATCTCGGAAATGGTTGAATCTCTTGCATGAAGTAAATAGTCAGATTCACAATCTTGTGTGTTGCTGGAGGAAAGTGTCAGCTATTTCTGCTATGGGAGAAAGTCATCTGCTTCGACACCATCGACCACTCAATCCTCATCCACCACCTCTTCTCTGACCTCAACGGCTCTGACCATGACTGGTTCAGATCGTACGCCTCACACCGCCTCCTCTTCATCTCCACAAATGGTTTCTTCTCTAGCCCTTCGCATCATCTCGTGTGGGTTCCTCGGGGCTCTGTCCTTGGTCCACTCCTCTTCAATACCTATGCGCTCCCTTTTGATTACATCATCCATAGACTTACGGTCAACTTCCACATGTATGCAGATGACACCCAACTGTACTTCACTGCCTCCACCCTCGACTCCAGGACCACTGCTGTCCTGACAGAATGTGAGAACTAATTTTCTTCAGTTGAACGTCAACAAGACTGAGGCTCTCCTGGTTGGCACCTCAGGCATTATCATCCATGGATGCACACTCCACCTTCCTAAGCCAGTCCAGAACCTTGGTGTCTTGTTTGACCCTCAACTAGCCTTTCTACCCCACATTTGTGCCATGATCCGCTCTGCCTTCCCCACCTCCGCTACGTTGCCCAGCTCCGCCACTGTCTCACACCGCAGGCCTCCAAAACCCTCATACACGCTTTAATTACTTTGAGGCTTGACTATGCAAACTTCTTGTTTTTCACCCTCCCCAACTCCTTCCTCCATAGGCTGCAGATCATCCAGAACTCTGCAGCCTGTGTCCTCTACTGCACTGGGCTCCGTGACCCTATCACCCCCATCCTTGACTGACTCCACGGCTTCCCATCAGACAGAGGATACAGTTCAAGATCCTGGTCCTCACCTTCAAAGCCCTCCATGGTCTTGCTCCCCCTATCTCTGTGACCGCTAACCCCCTACCAACCTGCCCGCTCCCACCGCTCGGGGCTCCAGCCTGCTTCACGTCGCCCACCTCGCTCGCCCCACTATTGGCGGACGGGCCTTCTGCCACTCTGCCCCCACCCTCTGGAACTCCATCCCGCAGTTCCTCACCTCCTTCAAGACCCATTTCAAGACCCTCCTTTTTCGACCGAGCTTTCGATCACCCTGCTTTCCCCCCTGCCTCCACCCTCCCTGATCCCTATCCCCATCTCGGGTCCGAAACTGACTGTCCAGCCTTTTAGGACGTCCTTCCGGCATGAAAGGCACTATACAAATGTAATTTTGTTGTTGCTGTATACAACTGTGCGATGAATGTGTTTGAGAAACACTCTGAGATATTAGCTAAATCAAAGAAAATAATGAGCTTTTAGAGATCAGATCAAGTAAGATGGCTTTAAAAGAAATACTGCTGTGAAAAGATTAGTCATATCCTTGAAAAGCTTTAAATGTTGGTTAAAACTGAAATGAAGCATGTTGTATTTAAATTGTATATGTAGTGCATAAATCTTACTATGTGCATTTTGTATTAACAGGTGGAGCCTTCTGATACTATTGAAAATGTGAAGGCTAAGATTCAGGACAAGGAAGGTACAGATATAGTTCTGACATTGGTAATTACATTGGGATTATATAGTTAGAACCCATAAATAGAATGTTTTAAATATTCCTGATTGGCTTCCTTTCCATTATCTTGCTTGGTAGATGAGAAATGTCACAAGATGTTTCAAATGTATAAGAGATGAGCTTCAGTAGCCAACTGGCCTATTCTCATCCCTGAATTTTCTAATATTTGTGGTACATTTTCAGCTTGCATTTGCAAATTTTATAACAAATGGTCATGTATTAAAACTTTTTTGAAATTTTACATATGAGCTATTACATGATTCTGAATGAGACTGGACCTGTGACAAAAAACATTATTCCTTTTAATACAGGTATTCCCCCTGATCAGCAGCGGCTGATTTTTGCTGGCAAACAGCTGGAAGATGGCCGTACTCTGTCTGACTACAACATACAGAAGGTACAATAATCTGACATCTGCACTAATTGGGACTGCTTTCACAGTAGATACTGAAAATCAGATATCGGGTCATCATACAAACTGAAATGAAAAGCACTAGTAACAGTTTTCCTTTACATACAACCACCATAATCATTCTTGCATTTGATATACCACCTTTTCAGGTAAAAATACTTGTTTTCTGTAAAGCGTGAATGCAACAGTATTGAATATCACTGTGTGTTAATGGAAAAATAAAAATGCTCTATAGAGGGGGTATAAATTAAAAATTTCATCAAAGAAAAGGTTAGCAGAAATAATTTAATACAGAGGGTTGTTACAATATGGAGTGCTTTAAAACAAAGGGCACCCATTGTTATAATAATCCTTGCATTTGATATAGTGCCTTATTGTGTTGTATCAAAGTACTTCACAGGATATACTCTATAAAGTTGTCGTGACTATTTTGTGGACAAAACTGTATAACAACAACAAGATTAAATTTCTATGGCGCCTTTCACGTTGGGAGGATACCCCAAGGCGTATAAAGTGCAGAACAATATCTGGTTTCTGGGTGCTTGTACATTGCACTCCCCAAGTGATATCAGTAACAACCTAGAAGTCATCTTTCGTACTAGAACAAAAACATTTTACATTTCCATTTAATACCTACAGCTGGGGTCCTAACTTTTCATAACTGAAACCCCTCGAGCTGGTAAAATCCTAGTCAATGAATCTACATGTGGCACCCATTCAATCGTTTTGATATCCTTACTATATGGGGTGCCCACAACTGTACACAATACTGGGTTCTTTTCCACTGGAGTTGCCCTGTAGTGGAATGCTCTACCTGTTGATTCTAGAGGGAAATTGCCTTACTACTTGATGTTGTTGAATAGGAATCCACTCTTCATCTTGTGCTGAGGCTTCGTGGTGGTGCCAAAAAGAGGAAGAAGAAGTCCTACACCACTGCCAAGAAATGCAAGAGGCACAGGAAGAAGGTCAAGCTTTGTGTCCTCAAGTACTACATGGTAATATAATGTTGCCTTGTCTACTAATGTTATGATTGGAAATTTGAGTGAGCTATGGTAGCTTTGTCTTGATATCTTACATCAATAGCTTGTGTATTGCTTAGTACTGAAATTTTGTACCAATAAATGTTCAGGCACATTATACTTTCTGATCTTGAACAGATGTGATAGCTGGAACATAGAATTAAGATTATGATTATAGAAGTGAAAGGCACAAAGTCTACTTATGTTATTCTATATAAAATCAGTCTAGGAGGTGGCAACAACGGGTAATTTTTCCTTGAATTTAATTAATGGAATGCAAATTTGTGCACTTATTCTAACAAAGTATTTTTACAACTTCTTTAAGGTTGATCCTAATGGCAAAATCACCCGTCTGCGCCGTGAGTGCCCTTCTGAGGAATGTGGAGCTGGTGTTTTCATGGGCAGTCACTTCAACAGACACTATTGTGGCAAATGTTGTCTGACCTACTGCTTCAACAAACCTGAAGATGCATAAATATGTACATTTTTAGAAAAATAAAGCCATGAGCTGAACTTGATTCTTTTGAGTCTAGCTTGCTTCACACCTATTGTTTAATTATATATACACCTTCATGCGTATTCTCATTTTAAACAAACTTTGATTGGAATAAAATGGGGTCATTGCTCCACGTGTGAAACGCCTACTATGTTGTCAGCCTTGGCAAATCTTGAGTGATGAAGAACTTAGGGTTTATTTTTTCCATTATATATTCCCAAGTAGGTTGCTACGTTTTAAATTGACATCTTTTTAAATGCTTACGTTGATCTACAGCCTTGACAACGACAACATTACATTTGTATAGCGCCTTTCACGTCGGGCTGACCCAAGGCGCTGGATAGTCAAGAATTTCTATATGACAGCATGATAATGCAAGTGGTAATGACAAGGTATCAGGAGTTTATTGTATAGATGCAATATTAAACATATCTTAAATCACAAAACAAATGTATCAAATAGATTTACAGTACAGACCTTGCGGTTCAAGTGCAAATGAATTGAATCCTAAAGTTTAGATTAATGTAAAATGATTTTAAAATCCTGGGTCCCAGGAAGTAACTTGCTGAACTTCTTTTTCTTCATAACAGACAATTTCATCTCCAGGCCAAACTTCAAAGTCCTTATCCAAACTCAGGCCACATTCCATACCAGCCTTTACAATTTGCACATCATCTTTCAGATGTTTGAGAGAGGTGAGACAACCTGGACAAGGGAAAAAATGCTCATTATAGCATGAACGCATGATATTTGCTTTCACATTTTAAGTCAATTTTTATCCTCAATGATTTAGCCCTTGCATCTATACAATTTACTGGTCAAAGAGGAAAACTGACAACCTGCTTTCCAGCACACTGCCAGTAGAGTTTAATTTAAGTTACTTTTAACATTCTAGCATTTCTTATATATAGGACCTTTCCATAGTTTTAAAATCAATGGCAGATGATTAGGCATATGCCCAAAAATCAGTGGAGCACTGAGATGTTTGGTGTGAAAGGCAGTATACTAAATGTAAGAATGAAAGATTACAAATATAGTTAGCCTTTGTAATGACACTAATACAATATAGGAACTTTCCCCGCGCTCTGGATCTACATAATGACTAGAGGCATTGCGTTAAAACTGCACAAACTAGCATTTATACAAAGCTGATTACAAAAAAAAGGCTCGACATTGCTTTACAAAAAAGTCTACAAATACTTTACAAAAAAAGGGCAACTCTCCTTTAAACGACACTTCTTTCTGCTCGGGAACACTTATTTTCTGAAATGCCGAAATTCTGATTCTACGATAACACAATACAGAAGTGAATAGGAAACATGCCTTGCCACAAAACATTGCCATCCCGGAGGAGTTTAAAGTTCATCTTTCTGTCCAATTGACCCTTCTGGATTCTGCATCCTGCTACTGGGACTTTCTTCTTTCCTATTGTCACCTGGAAGATTGTCAGTACAGAAGCCACTCCTGAAAAGCAAAATAACAATGAGCAAAGTGCTGCTTATGGCATTAATTGGTAAATTATTATAAACAATACCTGACAAAGAATCTCCCAATTTATTTGAGGAGGAATACTGTACCTATTGTATTTTCCTCCAGTGCTGGTGGTAACTTGCTACTTAATTCATCCTTGAGATCATCAATGAGCTTATAGATCACTTTATGCAGTTTGATTTTTATTCCCTTCTTGACAGCCATCTGTTCTAGAGATTTGTTGGCTTGTACATTGAAACCATAAACCAGACCTAAAAATCCAAAAGAGTCTCTTTAAATTACCAACCATACTTTATGTACAGAGTGTACAACTTCAGAAATATACCTGACTGCAATTTTACCCTCTCTTCCAGCTAGAAAAGTTAACAATAACTGGGAAGCTATGAGCTTGCAATTTTACTCTCTCTTCCAGCTAGAAAAGTTAACAGTAACTGGGAAGCTATGAGCTATCAAAAATTTTGAGTACTCACCATCCAAAAATGTCCTTCCCATCCCTAAATCAGAATGGGAGATCTCTAGCCAACAATCTCAAATCAAAGTGAGATCGCAGGAGAAATAGGCCATTAAAAATCAAATCATTCACAAATCGTACCTGAAAAGGTTTCGGCCAATTTAATATCGTTTTCATTAATATCCCCAACACCAAAGTGGACCAGATTGAGCTCACACTGCTCATCAGCATCATAGCTTTCTAGGATATTTAGAATGGTCTCCACAGAGCCATCAACGTCACCTGCAGAAGAAATTAAGAACAGTTGTTAAAATATTTTCATCAACTTAATTTGTGTTTCCAAGTGACTAAAACAGCCCAAAAAACCAATACTGCTTCATAAAAGCAAATAACCAACCTATATGTAAACAACAAGATTACATTTGTATAGCGCCTTTAAAGACCCTCTATAACAGAGTACGTTAGAAAGGAAAGTAGCACAATTTCCCATTCAAACAAAGTGTCTAGTTTCAAAGTGAAAACAATACATATTTCTAAAAAAAATACTTTTTAGCAATCTTCTATTGGGCCAGATTGACAGATCATGAATTCTTTCACTCCTTCCACCACTATCCTCCATAGCCCTTTTCTATCTTATCCAGTTACTATGAACTGTCCTGTTCCTCCCAATCTCTAAATAGGTCATCTTACACAGTTTAATTGAGGTTCAGTCAGACCCCACTTGAGTATTGTGTTCAGTTATGGGCAACCAATCTCAGAAAGGACATACTAGCCTTGGTGTATCCACCAATAATTCTTGTACAGGTAAAACTATTGTTACCCCAGGCCCACAACATATACAGCTCCATTGCTATAACTGATATCACTTTACATAATATTCTGTGAAGCGCTTTGAGACGTCTCGAAGATGTGATAAGGTGCAATATCAAATACAAGGATTGTTGTTATATTCTGTAATGATCTTTTTAAATCCAAGAACGTTTCAATAGTAATGACACGTATGCACTTACCTTTCACTATTATTGAAAGCGAAAACTCATCCCGTTCTGTCCTCTCCTTTGGCCTTATTCCCATTAAATGTTTATTGGCTTTGTACATGGCTGATTTTCTACTTCTCCAGCTCATGTTACTGTAGTTCTCTCGCAGCTTCTTGTATGCCTCATGGTGTTCTTTCTGTTTGATCCCAATCACCTCTAAATCTTGCTTAATTTTTTCTTGGGTCTTCATGTACCTCCGCCATTCTAAAACTTCCCTGGCCCTTTGCTGCTCAGCCAAGCAATTGAGAAGACAGTTACCAAAGTGAAAGGAATCCATCAGGGCTTCAGAAGAATACAGAAGATGAAACTTGAACAGTGACTACCATACAAATATAAAGGGTTGCTCTGAAAAANTTATCAATACGGATGCATTCAAATACACTTTTGAAAAAACTAGTTACAAAACACATTTTACAACAATATGTTGAGGATTGTGTACTGTTCGAACCATAGAACTTTATAGTAGAGAATGAGGCCTTTTGGCCCATCATGAGACTGCTGGCTCTTTGAAAAAGTATTCCATTCAGTCCCATTTAAATGCCTTTAAAAAATAGCTTGGATGTCGGGTGAAAGAAAGAAGGTCTCTTTGGGGGTTGAACTAATGAGATGGGAGTCCTGTAGCTTAGTGGTTAGAGCACTCGCCCCACAAGCGAGAGACCTGTGTTCAATTCCCAGGCGGGGTGAAACGTTGGACAAGTTTCCTTACTCCACACTCCTCTGTTTACCTAACTTTAAGTAGGACCCCGGTTGTTAGTCGATTGGAGGATCGCTTTTCTGGGGATAATAAAAGAAATTGGTCACTCAATCTACGATTGTTTGTGGGACACTGCTGTGCACAATTGGCTAGCATTTATTTTGCGTACAAAATACCCAGTCAATTCACTTTACAGAATATTCTGTAAAGTGCTTTAAGACATCTCTGAGATATGATAAGGCACTATATCAAATGCAAGGATTATTATTATATCCTTCGCAAAACCAGGCAGGTCTGCAATAGCCAAAAGCAGAATTGGAGGTGTAGATATATCCTGAACCCCGCAAACCAAAGCCCTAACAGATAAGGCAGTCCTGTCTGATACAAAGTTCTTTTTAAAAAATAATCTTCAAGATATTTAAACCTTTTCAAAAACATCTTTTTTTTCAAATTTTTTACAAAATGATCAGAGATTTTTTGTAATGTGACTGTTATCAATCTGCAAGGACAAGTTGCTCTATGGGCATTGCTGGCACGTCAAGATTCCAGTTATATCACACGGGGTAAACACGTGTGTAAAAAACCCCCACAAGAATTAAACACCAGACAGACCAAACCTCTGACAATATAGTCCCATTCCTCTTAGTGCTCCTACTGAAACAACAAGGACCCTGGCCACAGAGATCTGAGCAAAGCACGTTATTTCATTACTCCCCACCTCAGATTCCACTTCAAGAATTTCATCTCCAGCAGATGGAAGCTCTTTCCATCCCACTATCTCCACCGGCGTACTGGGTGCAGCAGTGTTCATTGGCTTGTTATTCTCATCGAACATTAACCTCACTTTAGCCCAGCACTTTCCCGCCACCAAGACACAGCCTTTCTTCAGTGTTCCACGTTGGATGATGGTTGTCGTTACTGGTCTATAGAAAACATAAACAGCATTTAGTGCCGTTTTATACATTGCTAATAATTAAATACAGTAGAGCAGCAAATATCTAGATAGATGCCAGATGACCACATGCTCACTTAACTACATTCAGGCTGAAATCCCACAAATGAAAGTTTACAAAGTTTTGTGCAGAAAACAATTCACTGTAACCAGCAGCCGATTTATTCCCATGTGTGCCAGCAATTTGATTCAGAGTATTTGTTCAAGTGCAAAACGGAATTAGAGAGAGCGTGTGTGTGGGAGAGAAGAGACAAGCGAGGGAAAGGTGGCACAATTTAGTGCTATAGTGCAGTATAACTATTAGTAGAAGTAGTTTTGGTTAGTACTCTACCTTGTATTTTGTGTCATTACCCAATATCTTCACTGTTTTCACAACCACAACAGGGCTTTAGTTTGGATATCGAGCTCTCTGTTGTAACAGTTTCTGGAACTGCAACGGTGATAATTTACTCACCCTTTTCCTTTATCGGTCCGGCTTTCAATGACCGTGCCCTCAACAAGTCCTGTAGGATCAGCTTTCAACTCCAGCATCTCTGACTGGGCAACAGTAGCCTCGGTTAAAGCTAACAAATTGTCTCCCTAGGAATTTTCACAGTACACTGGATCAAAACAATGATCAACCTATCACACTTGAGAATGACACAAAATTTCAGAAAGAATTCAAACTTAATACAAATAGTTTACATCTAGACAAAGTAAATGGAAACAAAGACAATATTTTATTAAAGTATAGAACCTACTTCTAAAAGAATTGGAAGCAGGGACACCTGGGGTACTGACAGATTATTCTTACCCGACACTAGATCTAACAGCAATATATGTTGTATTATTGCAGTGACCAGTGCAAAACCTGCTATTACCTTAAAAGCTCCAGATGTATAATCAGGCTACAATAAGTTTGGCTGATATATAATGAGATCTGCAGACCACATTTGCAACACGATTCATAAACATCTAGGCAAGTCAGAGCGGTTTCCATGAATCAACATGACACAAGTCAGGTTACCTGCAGATTTAATATTTAGGAATTTTTTGATTCCTCTTGTGCATTTTAAAGGAAAGCATTAAAGGCACTGGTTTATGTCTGCAATTGCTGCAGATAGTAGGTCTCCCATTCTGAGCAATCAGGTTTTGGGGACCTTTCTACAAGAAAAAAAGGGGAAAAAGTTGAATAGCCATTTTTTTTATACAGGCTGCTCTTACAACCCTCCCCTTTTGCAGTTGGTTCAAGAGCAGCAATGGCAGAAACCCATTACTGTCCTGACTATTTAGCAAGGAAATGGTTTGTAACTAATCATGGTGAAGAAAGGGCAGAAAAGTAAATGTTTTCAAAGGGCAGGGGAAAGCAGCAAAACATTTTTAAACAACACTGGTGTAGTGTGAAAGTTACTGAGACCCAATCAATGCCATGTTCCTCTAGAAAAATACATAGGGTAACTTTCACAATTACCGTAAGAGCTGACAAACTTATAGACTGAATGTCACCACCATACTCCTCACAAACCACATCATGGGCAAGAAGTTCCTGCTTCACCCTGCCAGGGTCTGCCTCCGGCTTGTCGCACTTATTTACAGCCAGAATTATTGGAACTGCAACAAAGGAGAACAGTTAAGAGTCAGAAAAGGGGGCAAAAAACACAGGCTAATGATTACAGATTTTTTTAGGACCTTTTGAAGAAAATCTGCTTGTTAACCAATACAGATAATCAGCCCATTTAATTACTCAAAAACTTTTACAATGAAGTCTGGTTTTACTACAACAAATACTTGTGTATATATTGTTTGAGGCTTCAATCATAGGAAGGCTGCATTTCAAAATAACAAATAAACCTCTTGTTCCTGCAAAATTGCTCAGTTGACAGTCATAATAACAAATCTAAACTCAAAGAAAGCTCACCAATGGAACAAATGAAAGGCTGGACAATAGTAAACGCAACCAATAAATATAGTGAATAAATACAATAAATACAGTGAGTGGCACAGTGGATTAGTGCACTCTCCTTTTGTCAGTGATCTTTAATCCAAGCGGGACTGATGAAAGTCTACACACTGTTGGCTGAAAGCGTATTGTATGAAATGAGCTTGAGCAGTTTCAACACAACAAAACCTGTCTAATTAACCTCTAAACTGGTAATCTCAGAGGCAAAATATGACTGATATAGTTAATGTGTGAAAATATGCCCCCCCAGCTAACTTCGCACAGACGGGACTTGAACCTGAGTTTCCTGGGACTATATGGCTGAGCTTCAGGCAGATTCTTTGTAATAATAATAATCCCTACAATTGATCAAGTACCTTTCGTGTTAGGAGGACATCTCAAAGTGCTTCATTGAATTCATAGAATTACTATAAAATGTAATGACTGTATTTTATAGGCAAACGTGGTAGCCGATTTGTGCAGAGCAATATTCCACGAACAGCCATGAAATGAATGACTCATTTTACAAGGACACTAGGTTTTGCCATTCTGTGCATCTTTTTGTAAAATACTACGTAGGATTTTGGCAAGAGGCACCATTTCCCCTCTTCATGTTATCTTTCTTTCAAACAATCACTGAGCACAAAGCACAAAGCTCAATTTGATGTTGACAGTTCCTTGGTTTATTCCCCAAACATAAACTTACCTCGAGCATGTTTAGCATGTTCAATCGATTCTACTGTTTGCTTCATTACTCCATCGTCTGCAGCTACTACTAATATTACAATGTCGGTCACGTTAGCACCACGGGCTCGCATTGCTGAAAAGGCAGCATGGCCGGGGGTGTCCAGGAAGGTGATCTTCTCCCCAGAGGGTAAGCGCACTGTGTAAATAAGTAAGATGTTTCAAACACCACACAGGAACTGCAATGCAACAAAAGCAAATTACAGCAATGCTATGAACTGAGTGCACATGAAACTGTCTCATCCCCTAGGCCCAGGACACTTGAGGCCAGCTGTGGTGAGCCAGTTATTGTCTGATAATAACAACAACAAAATACATTTGTGTAACTCCTTTCATATCTGGAGAGCATCCCAGGGCGCTGGACAGTCAAGGATTTGCATCTGAGCAGGGGGTTGGGATTAGGAGGGGTGGCGGGCAGGGAGGTTGGGTTCAAGCAGTTAACTGAAGGCATGGACAAAGAGGAAAGCGTTGAGACAGGCCTTGAAGGAGGAAAGGGAGTGGGGGGCTAGGCAAAAGGATTGTGAGATAAGAGTTACAAAGGGTGGGGGAGCAGCCCTTCCTGAAAGGCTGAAGGCCCGACTGCTGATGGTGGGGCGGGCAGGGCGGGGGTCGTGGAGCAGGCCATTTATAGAGCTTATATTTAATTATAAAGCCTTTCATGAAACATGAACGAACGTGTTGAAGAGCTTCCAGCAGTGACCTAGGACCTTCTGGGTCTCAATGGCACAGATTTACATTAGGCAGTAACTTTACCAATTAAGTAATTGTGGTGGGGGGGGGAGGGTGGGGTGGAGAGGAGAAGAGAAGAGAGACAAGAGTAATTTAATTATTAATTCCATCATACAGTTACAGCACAGATAAAATAACGTGCAAACCACTGGAATTCAGTATTAAATCTGAGCAAAGGTAACTTTGACGTACCAAGGAAGGCACCTATATGCTGTGTGATGCCTCCTGCCTCCATAGCTGCAACTTGGGTTTTTCTAAGACTGTCAAGTAATGTTGTTTTCCCGTGATCAACGTGACCCATTATTGTAACCACTGGGGGCCTGGGCACAAGAGCAGCCGGATCTGCAGGAGGTCTGAAACAGAACAGATTTAGCGGACGTCTCACAAAGCTTGTTGTGATTGTGCATGATTTTAAACCAACTAGCACTGTAGCAAGTACCCCTAAAAAGAACCAGCTCATCTCAAGATTGCCAGATACAACATTACAAGATAAGTAAAGCATTCAACATGATGGCTATTTCTGTGGTTCTGAGGCTCTCGCTTGCTAGCACCAACGCATCACATCTTTAGTGAAAATCAAGAATTCTACAACTGCTAAGTGTCCGTCCATTTTAACAATAACAACAAATGACATTTGTATAGCACCTTTCATGTCAGGAGGATCTTAAATACATACCGGGCACCTGGTTGGCTCCCCTGTGGACAAAATGCATGCAATCTAGCAATTATCTGTTAGGGATTAAGCTTTCACAATGTGCAGAAGCTTCCTTCTAACTGTTGCTCTGTACAAATTTTATTAAAACCAATTTTTTTGGTAGTTATTTAGATGGAACAGTAGGAGGTAGTTAAGTTGAAATTTGCTGGCCTCATTTTTGGCAGTTAACTAGGAATTGAACATTTAAGAAAGAAATAATCGAGACATCGTTGGCAAGAGTGTGTGAGCAAACAGTTTCTTCAACGACTGTGACGAGTGCTATGTTTGGAATGTTGCTGCCCCAAACCTGAGCTAATAAGATAATATTAATAATCCTTGCATTCAATACATTGTCTTATCTGGAACACTCTTCCTCAATCTCTCCGCTTTGCCCCTTCTCCCCCCTTTCTCAAGTCCTACGTGAAAATCTTCCTGTTCGACTGTGCTTACGGCAACCTTCCCCCTCCCGCCCAGCTTGGAGTCAGGCTCCGCAACTGTTAAGCACTCTGAGACGCTCCCCTGAGCGGAGAGCGTTATATAAGTGCACAAGTTGTTGATGTTGTTATCAAGTCATCAAAAGTTTCAAAGCACTTCACGATTTACTGTGAAGTGTAGTGACAAGCACTGCTAGATGCTACCATGTTTGAAGGGCACTGTATAAATGCAAATTGTTGTTGACTGTGTAATTGTATGCAAAGATAGCAACCAACTTGCACACAGCAATGTTTCACCAAGAGCCATGAACTAAATAATCTATTTTATTTGGGGGATTGTTAGTCAGGATATTGGAGAAATGCCCTTCTATTTTTGAATAACACCATAAGATCTTTAAAGTTCACCTGAACAGGTAGATAGGACCTCAGTTTAATGTCTCATCCGAAGGACAATACAGTCAAAATTGTAAGCTCAAAGTCCCGACTTGGGGCTTGAACCCACAACTTGATTTAAGCACGAAACCTACCTCGTTACAGCATCTTTATTTTCTTTTACTTTATCTTGGGAAAGCTTTGCCCATTTAAATTTCATTCCAGATTTCTTTACAACCTCTTTTATCCATTTTTCATCGAGAAAAGAATCTGGTTCCAATGAATCCAAGTCAATAGCTGTGTTCAGTAGAGCTTCATACACATGATCTACATTTGGAAAGAAACTGAAGGGTAAACGAAAATATAGATTTCTTAAACTTTTAATTGTTTGCATGTTTTAGATATTTCCTTTTCTCTCCACCAAGAAACCACCATCTTGAATCAACGAGTTTTCACACCAGTTCTGTAACGAGATACAAAAATGACCAGGTGACTCACCTGGGATGGGGGGGAACTGTTTTTGCTAAGACCTAATCATGGCATGGCTGTGATTTATAAGGTCATTATATAGGGAACTGTGGGCATGAGTTTATGTATATGGTCCACAATGCTGGCAGCGTGATGCGCTGTACATTCCTGCTGTCTCACTCACTGTGACAAATATTGCTAAATAAAATATATTTTGTAAGAAGTATCTATAGTATATAGTAAAATGATCTACCAGTATCTTTATCCATAGCATCTGCAAGTTCGGACACAGTCATTATTTTCTTTATCTCCACTTCCTTCTTCATTTGCTTTTGTTTTATTGGAGGAATTCTCTTATCTTTCTTTGAAAAGAGAAAATGAGAAGACAAATGAACGTGAAAAGGCCAGCCAGCAGACACACAATATTCCATAATCAATACAAACAGGATTAATACAGGTATTAATATACAAAAATATACAGTCAATTCATTTTACAGTACAGTCTGTGAAGATAATCTCAAAATAATAAAATAATATCTCAGATACAGTATATAGTTTAGGACATGACCTGTCAAGCAACTGCCAGGATGTTGGAAGGCAAATTAGATGGCTCTTGGTCTTCTTTCACCGAGCAAATTCTTGTGTCTGAACGACACAATTTTAAATGCAGGGATTATTATTAATATTAATAAACTATAGACAAAAATCAAAATGATTTGGTAACCTCAGAAAACTGTGGGTGTTGGGGGGTGGGGGGAGGGGGGAGAAGAGGGGAATCATTACATCACTGCAGTCATGCATCTCTAACATCCAGCAATGCTCCAGGTCTGGAAGGAGGTGATCCTTAGAAGCTGCATGGCTCAGTGAGGTCTTTGGAGGAGAAAAAATAGGTGGACTCCTTGCAGCTTAGTGGTTCGAGCACTCGCCTCACAAGCGAGAGGACCTAGGTTCGATTCCCGGGCAGGGTGAAACATTAGGCAAGTTTCCTTACTCCACACATCACTGTTTACCAAGCAGTAAGTAGGAACCCAGTTGTTAGTCGATTGGCGGATCGCTTTTCTGGGGGTAATAATCCCTTTTGAAAAAAAACATAATTTGGTCACTTCAATCCATAACTGTTTGTGGATACTGCTGTGTGCAATTGGCTGTCACATTTCGTCCACAAAATACACAGTCAATTCATTGTACAGAATATTCTGTGAAGCCCTTTGAGATGTCTCGAAGACATGATGAGGCGCTATATCAAATGCAAGGATTATTATTATAATTTTCAATTAAAAAATGTAAAATCAGTAAATACACTGCACAATGTGACAATGGACCACACAGACCCTGGGTTGGGTTCACTGATCTCAGATGAGCTCTTCAGCACCCTGGATTATTGGAAGGGAAAAATTAGTCACTGTGTTCCTCTTGTGATTGTTATTCCATTATCTTTGCTGGAAAGACCAAGATACAAATGTCTAGTGAGACAGATGTGATTCCCCGTTGAATTGTTGTAAAGACTGACTACCTAAACTCACATGATGGATGATCATTTGGGAGAAATACCAAAGGGATGTTGGTGCCAAGAAAACTTATCCCATAGCATCAACCAGGATGAGTCAGTGCGCACAGAAGAGGAAGAAAAATACAAATGTTTATCATAGCGCACTGAAGAGTTCATCTGGGTAATACTAACTTTTGAAGAATCAGTCAGTCCAGTGTAAAAGAACCATTAACATTATTGGCTAATAATTGACTGTTTTATCATCTTTTTTACTGGAGGAATTCTCTTATCTTGATAAGATTTAAAGCCCTTGATGAGTATGTATTGTTAAATTTCTTTATTTACTGCCCACCTTGGAAATGGCATTTCCAATAAGCAGCAGTTTAACGGAGATTCTTACAGTGATTCAATAGGTTAATGTACCACCAGATAAGTAAACTAGCATAAAAGTTACTGCTGGGCAAGAAGTTACCATCAGTCAGCAAGTTCCTTACCTGTTTAGTGGCTAAACACCTAACGAGAGACCAAGTAAATTTGATGAAGTGGTTCTTGGGTATCCAGCAGCACAGCATGGCAGGCAGTCCTGGATCATAGTTTCTTAGCGTATGAATTTTGTGGCCACTCCACTTCCACATCACAGGCTTCAGCCTAATCAACAATCTCATCATCATCATCATCTGGTGGGAACAACACCATCCATTTATTCATTTTGAGTTATTCCGAATGATTAATATTTTGTGGAACGTCTACCACCTGTTCCCTTGACCCTCTGACAACCCAGCTTCCAACTACCCAACTACCCACTCCAGGCCCCCGACTTCTGGACTGCTTCTCTCGACATTGTAACTATTCCTCCCAATTTCAAAACCATTGATATCACCCAGTTATCATTTGGGGTGGGGAGGGGGTTTGCAAGGTCATGGAGAATTTGTAGGCAGCTGGGGAGCCCGGACTTCCTAGCGATGATGTGAATGACCAATTGTATCTGGACGATTCTTGTCCAGGACAACGAGAGACACTCCTTTTACTTTTCGAACAGTGCCATGGGATCTTTAATGTTAAACCGAATAGGCGGACAGGTCCTCAATTTAACATCTCATCCAAAGGACAGCAACTCCCAACAATGCAGCACTTCCCAAGGACTGTACTGTAGCGGTGGTGATAAGCATAGACTTAGAATCTTGTTATAAATGTTGTAATCAAACAACAGGTGCCACATCCATCACTGTTTATGGGCATTTTGCTATGCAAAAATTGGCTGTCACAAAAAACACCGTCGCTACACATTACTTACAACAACAAGATTACATGTGTATAGCGCCTTTCACGTTGGGAGGCCTACTTACAATATTATCCTGTGAAGTGCTGCCTTCCAGGCATCCTCTTGATGAGTTAAAGCGCTGTACCAATTGAACGGATCATTTATTTTACCAGTGTCACCCACAGGTTTCATCCGAGAGATAAAATGTTTGTGCAGGTCAGTGGTGCTCTGGAATTACATGGGCAAAAGCCTCAACCTTTCACAATGGCTTGACTACACTAATTCCTCGCTTGCCAGACTTCCCAACTCTTCCATACACAGGATGCAGAAGATTCAGAACTCTGTTTATCATGTCCTTTCCTGCACTAAGCTCTGTGAGCCAATCACCCCAAATCTTCACTGTCAAGACCTTCCTCTTTGACTATGCCTTTGGTCATCTTCCCACCCCACACCCTTGATCTTCATTCCTCTTGACTCCAACCCACAGCTTGGGTGCAAACTCTTCACTGTCCAATGCCTCCTTGGGACATCCTCACAACATGAAAGGCACTGAATATTGTTTTTGGTCAGCTGGGTGTCTGTCACCAAGCTTAAGAATATCCAAACCAAACCGAGAATTCCACGCATCCCATGTACACATGGAAATCCCAGAGATAGACTGTTGGAATGGACTGTGCACTCGCTCACTGGAGGGACACATCCTGCTTACCTAATTCCAGAAACTATTACAACAACAACTTGCATGTATATAGCGCTCTTCACATGGGGTAACATCCTGCAGCACTTGGTTGGCAAAAGCTGAGGCACAAGTTGGCAAAAGCCAAGGCTTGGGGACCCCAGAGTGTGCATTGGGGTAACTGCTGGAGTCTAACCAGCTAAAACCGCATAACGTGCCACTGATATCGCTGTCTGGCAAGCTTTCCCGCTGCTTGTCTTGTTCGTTTGTTTCACCCACAAAATATACAGTCAATTCACTTTACAGTCTAGTCTGTGAAGCGCTTTGAGACATCTCGAAGCTGCGATATCAAATGCAAGGAGTATTATTATTATCATCAAATTCTGATGAAGGGTCGTGGACCCGAAACGTTGAGTCAACTTTCCTAGAAGCTGCCTGACCTGCCATTGAGTGTTCCCAGCGACTTCTGATTTTGTTTCATTATTATTATTATTATTATTTTGTGTAGCTCCTGTAGCTCAGTGGTTAGAGCACTCGCTTTGCAAGTGAGAGACCTGAGTTCAATTCCAGGCAGAGGGCGAAACCTTGGGCAAGTTTCCTTACTCCACACAGAGCCTAATAATAATCCCTCCAATACCAAAAACAATAATAAATTGGTCATTTTCAATCCACGACTGTTTGTGGGACATTGCTGTGCGCAATTGGCTGCCGCGTTCGCCCACAAATATACAGTCAATTCACTTTACAGTGTGTTCTGTGAAGCGCTTTGGGACGTCCTCCTGACGTGAAAAGCGCTATATCAGATGCAAGGATCATTATTATTATGATTATTATTGTTGTTCTCCAGCTGGGACCACACTGCCAGTTAGGGCTTTGGCCTGTGTGTGTGTGTGGGGGGGGGGGGGGGGGTTCCAGGAGCTGAGGGGTGGTGGGGGGGGGGGGGGGTCCCAGGAGCTGAGGGGTGGTGGGGGGGGGGTCCCAGGAGCTGAGGGGTGGTGGGGGGGGGGGTCCCAGGAGCTGAGGGGTGGTGGGGGGGGTGGGGGTCCCAGGAGCTGAGGGGTGGGGGTCCCAGGAGCTGAGGGGTGGTGGGGGGGGGTCCCAGGAGCTGAGGGGTGGTGGGGGGGGTCCCAGGAGCTGAGGGGTGGGGGTCCCAGGAGCTGAGGGGTGGGGGTCCCAGGAGCTGAGGGGTGGTGGGGGGGAGTCCCAGGAGCTGAGGGGTGGTGGGGGGGGATTCCAGGGCCTCAGTGACCGCTGTGATTTGTTGTTTTGAGAAAAGCCTGAACTTTAACAAAAAAAAACAGCAAATCTCCAGCAGTTTAAGCCCTGAGAGCCGCCGCCGCCGCCCACCCCCGACAGTCTGTGTGTGTGTGTGTGTGTGTGCGCTGTACCTGCTCGGCCCAGGGCCCAGGGCCCAGCCCTCAGCTCTCAGCCCTGTCAGACCCGCCGCCCTCCATCCCCCCAATCACAGCCTCTCCTCGCACTGGGCGCCGCCATCACACCTCCCACAAGCCACCGCGTCGACGAGCAGATTACCAGCCGTTTAAGAATAACAGCCGTTCCCCTCTGGGAGTGGTGTGATGGTGTGATGGAGAGAGGTGTGATGGTGATGGAGAGCGGTGTGATGGTAATGGAGAGCGGTGTGATGGTGATCGAGAGAGGTGTGATGGTGATGGAGAGCGGTGTGATGGTGATGGAGAGCGGTGTGATGGTTGGATGGAGAGCAGTGTGATGGTGATGGAGAGCGGTGTGATGGTGTGATGGAGAGAGGTGTGATGGTGATGGAGAGTGGTGTGATGGTGATGGAGAGCGGTGTGATGGTGTGATGGAGAGAGGTGTGATGGTGTGATGGAGAGAGGTGTGATGGTGATGGAGAGCGGTGTGATGGTGTGATGGAGAGAGGTGTGATGGTGATGGAGAGCGGTGTGATGGTGATGGAGAGCGGTGTGATGGTGATGGAGAGAGGTGTGATGGTGATGGAGAGCGGTGTGATGGTGATGGAGAGCGGTGTGATGGTGATGAAGAGAGAGGTGTGATGGTGATGGAGAGGTGTGATGGTGTGATGGAGAGCGGTGTGTGATGGTGATGGAGAGTGGTGTGATGGTGATGGAGAGCGGTGTGATGGTGATGGAGAGCGGTGTGATGGTAATGGAGAGCGGTGTGATGGTGATGGAGAGAGGTGTGATGGTGATGGAGAGCGGTGTGATGGTGATGGAGAGCGGTGTGATGGTGATGGAGAGCGGTGTGATGGTGTGATGGAGAGAGGTGTGATGGTGATGGAGAGTGGTGTGATGGTGATGGAGAGCGGTGTGATGGTGTGATGGAGAGAGGTGTGATGGTGTGATGGAGAGAGGTGTGATGGTGATGGAGAGCGGTGTGATGGTGTGATGGAGAGAGGTGTGATGGTGATGGACAGTGGTGTGATGGTGATGGAGAGCGGTGTGATGGTGATGGAGAGCGGTGTGATGGTGATGGAGAGAGGTGTGATGGTGATGGAGAGCGGTGTGATGGTGATGGAGAGAGGTGTGATGGTGATGGAGAGCGGTGTGATGGTGTGATGAAGAGAAGTGTGATGGTGATGGAGAGTGGTGTGATGGTGATGGAGAGCGGTGTGATGGTGTGATGGAGAGAGGTGTGATGGTGATGGAGAGTGGTGTGATGGTGATGGAGAGCGGTGTGATGGTGATGAAGAGCGATGTGATGGTGATGGAGAGCGGTGTGATGGTGTTGGAGAGAGGTGTGATGGTGTGATGGAGAGAGGTGTGATGGTGATGGAGAGCGGTGTGATGGTGATGGAGAGCGGTGTGATGGTGTGATGGAGAGAGGTGTGTGATGGTGATGGAGAGCGGTGTGTGATGGTGATGGAGAGCGGTGTGTGATGGTGATGGAGAGCGGTGTGTGATGGTGATGGAGAGCGGTGTGTGATGGTGATGGAGAGAGGTGTGTGATGGTGATGGAGAGAGGTGTGTGATGGTGATGGAGAGCGGTGTGTGATGTGATGGAGAGCGGTGTGATGGTGATGGAGAGAGGTGTGTGATGGTGATGGAGAGCGGTGTGATGGTGATGGAGAGCGGTGTGATGGTGTGATGGAGAGAGGTGTGATGGTGATGGAGAGCGGTGTGTGATGGTGATGGAGAGTGGTCTGTGATGGTGATGGAGAGTGGTGTGATGGTGGTGATGAGAGAGGTGTGATGGTGATGGAGAGCGGTGTGTGATGGTGATGGAGAGTGGTGTGTGATGGTGATGGAGAGTGGTGTGTGATGGTGGAGAGCGGTGTGTGATGGTGTGATGGAGAGTGGTGTGTGATGGAGAGTGGTGTGTGATGGTGGAGAGCGGTGTGTGATGGTGTTGGAGAGCGGTGTTTGATGGTGTGATGGAGAGAGGTGTGATGGTGATGGAGAGCGGTGTGTGATGGTGATGGAGAGTGGTGTGTGATGGTGATGGAGAGCGGTGTGTGATGGTGATGGAGAGCGGTGTGTGATGGTGATGGAGAGCGGTGTGTGATGGTGGAGAGCGGTGTGTGATGGTGATGGAGAGCGGTGTGTGATGGTGATGGAGAGCGGTGTGTGATGGTGGAGAGCGGTGTGTGATGGTGATGGAGAGTGGTGTGTGATGGTGATGGAGAGCGGTGTGTGATGGTGGAGAGTGGTGTGTGATGGTGTGATGGAGAGTGGTGTGTGATGGAGAGTGGTGTGTGATGGTGGAGAGCGGTGTGTGATGGTGGGTGATGGGGAGCGGTGTGTGATGGTGATGGAGAGCGGTGTGTGATGGTGGAGAGCGGTGTGTGATGGTGATGGAGAGCGGTGTGTGATGGTGATGGAGAGCGGTGTGTGATGGTGATGGAGAGCGGTGTGTGATGGTGATGGAGAGCGGTGTGTGATGGTGATGGAGAGCGGTGTGTGATGGTGGAGAGCGGTGTGTGATGGTGATGGAGAGCGGTGTGTGATGGTGAGAGAGGTGTGTGTGGTGATGGTGAGGAGATGGATTCGGTGTGTGATGGTGATGGAGAGCGGTGTGTGATGGTGATGGAGAGCGGTGTGTGATGGTGATGGAGAGCGGTGTGTGATGGTGGAGAGCTGTGTGATGTGATGGTGATGGAGGACGGTGTGTGATGGTGATGGAGAGTGGTGTGTGATGGTGGAGAGCGGTGTGTGATGGTGATGGAGAGCGGTGTGTGATGGTGATGGAGAGCGGTGTGTGATGGTGATGGAGAGCGGTGTGTGATGGTGATGGAGAGCGGTGTGTGATGGTGATGGAGAGCGGTGTGTGA